GAAATATGAATTGTTATGAAAGAATTTCTCTAGAGGACTAGGTCTGGTATGGACCATACTCAAAAGGTATGAAAGGTCAACAATGTCCTATGATTAATGGTCTTATAGGCTGGTGTCTTCTCCACAACCTTCCTTTTATTTAACTTATTCAAAGCTTTTAGAATTTTATTCAACTTTCTCTTGAGTTTTTCCTAAGCCCTCTCTATATTTTCAAAGCATTTTGCATTCTCTTGCTTCATTCATCTAGCTTGGACCCAGCTATTTTACTAATGGTGAGTAGGGTGAGCTGAATTCTTGGACAGTTAAGCTTAGACAATTGAACTATGCTTGAATCTTGTGTATCACAATTAGCATGTTTATGTTACTAAGTGTTTATGCAAATAAGTATTTAAGATTATCCTAACTTGTTTAAAAATCTTATATGTATGAATGAATGCATGCATTAAATGCTTAACACAATAAAAGTATGATGCATAGACACATGAATATATGTATAACAATGTATGAAAAGAAAATTATGAATATATGTACTAATGTTTATCATATTATGATGCATGAGTGAATGCATATGTTAATGATGTTGCATTAAAGTCCAACAAATAACAACTTAACAATAAATAAGAGATCAAATAAAATTTCTCAACTTTCATAAGGTTGATACGAATGAAACTTAAAAAGTGAATTCATATGTCCTAACTAGGGTTATATTTTAATGATTAGACTTTAACATAAGGTTGGCATCTTATATTTATTATATGTGGTTTGGATTCACAATTTAAAAGTTTCCAAATTGTTCCTCACATCCTTATTCATGACATACTAGTAAGGCACCCCAATCATTGTTTGTCGTAAGCTACAAGCGAAAAAATTTCAATTTGAGTGAAATTATTTTGCCAGCTCATATGAAGAAATGAAATCTCACAAAAGCCTAGGTACTTTACTCTCTTTTAAAAGACGAAGCTCGAGTGTAGAGTTCATATTATGCATATGCACATGCATAACACAATAATAAATGTTTGAAAAATAAATAAAGAAAAAATCTTTTTAAGAAAAAAAAACAAATTTATTAGGCTTAGATAACACAAGTTTATTTACTACCCTAATTCTCATTTATCCCTAGCGGAGTCACCAAATTGTCATAACGTATAGGTTCGTAAACCTATCGCTAGACATAACTAGAGAAGTCACTGTCAATTTTTTTATTTAGATACAATTGATCACCTAACAGAACCTGTCTCATTTTAAAGAGAAATCTCAAACTTAACTTGCGTATCTTTAAAAGGTATATTCTTATTTATAAACTAGAATTGGATTTAGGAGTATGATTACGTGTAGATAAGATTATAACACTCTTGCAATACCCATCTAAAAGATAATACTAGTTTGATTTGTTGTTATCCAAAAGCCTAAAAAATTTATCAATTAATTAATTATTAAAAATTACTCTCAAATTACATTAGTATGTTTGTAATAATTAACAATATTTTCTTACCTCAAGAGTATTCAAGAAAACTATTTGTCACACTTTGAAAATGCTCCATCGTCAAATTCATTTTAGTTTAAACAAAAAAAAAAAAAACTCTTATTCACTACTAAAAGGGATTTAGAATCTTGACATTGAAAATTTTTATTTAAATTTTTTAATAAGTTGATAAAATTTAAAAAAGATTTCTCACATAAAAATTTATATAGAAATTATTATTTACAACGTTTTAAGTAATTCTATCATCAAAGTTTCAAAATCAATTTTCATTTTTTAAAAAGTATCTTTCAATATATAGATAAGATTTCTTAAAAGAAAGTATTCTCTAATATGTAAGTAGTATTTTCTTAAAAAATTATTTTTCTTCTTCAAGATATATTTTTTTTATTAATAAGATTATTCAATATGTTGGTAAAATTTTATTATAGATTAAAAAAATCACAAACCTTTAAATATGTTGTAATGCTTTTATTTCCCCAAAACTTAATTTTAAAATTCAACCTTCCCATATGTTGGTATGGTTGTATTTTTCTTTTCTTCAAACTTTATTTTCCTAAATTTTTAATTTTGAATTTAAAACCATCCAATATGTTAATAAAACTTTGTTTGTTTCACTTTTCAAAAATTTTTAAAACCTCAAATATGTTGGTAAGATTTATTTCAAAATTAATTTTAAAAAAATTCAAACCTCTTAATTTTATTTGTTTTTAAATAATCAACTTCTTAAAAAATATTTATGATTTAAAATAAAAAATCAAATTAAATAAATAAAATAAAATATTTAAAAATCAAGAAAAATACTAAATTTTGTAAAAGTCAACTCTAGTCAACCTATCAAGCTAGTTCAAATGGTTCACTGGTTTAATCTGGTTCAGACCAATTTTTTGGTGGTTGAGAAACTCAATAAAGCAAATCAGGTCGCGGGTTTTCAAATCGGATCAAATGACCCAACTAATTTTGCTCCCTAAAATGATGTAGTTTTGGCTTTTTATAAAAGCCCAAGTTTTTTCCTTATCCTTCAATTTTTTTTCTTCTTTCTTCTCTCTCTATGAATCAATTTCTTTGCATCTTTCTCCCTAATAATTTTTTACTACCATTACTAGTTCCCCTATCATTATACTCTATCGCTAGCAAAGTCCATTCAAGCCCAAAATCTCACTATTGATTCTTCTCGACCTTTTCTTCCCAAATTTGAGCTTAATCTTTTTAAAATCATTCTCAATTGTTCCAAATTTGAAGTGAAATCATAACTTTTCTACTACCTTTTCATCTTCTTCTTATCGTTCGATTAGGTGGAGATTTCAATATGCCAATCTCCTCCTTAGGCTATTCCTCCTCACAATTCGGATCTCTCAAAAATCACACCAGCCATCATTGATCACCACAATTATGTCTTTTTTATCACTAGTGTTCTCAATGTGACAGCCACTTTAGCTGTTTGACCACTTCTTAAAGTATATTCTCTCTTCGTGGATAACCTTAAAAAAAAAAAAATCAACCCTACAACCAAAAATGTTTTGGTTTATTATGCTTGATGATTTCTATTTATTATGTATCTGATGATTTTTGTTTGTTGTATATTGGGCTTCTTTATTATGTGGCTTTCAAAATTTTGATATTTATTCCTTTTGCATATTACCAAATTTTAATTCTTTAGCCGTGGAGAGTTTAATGGTTTGTCAATTTTATGAATGTTGAGATAAGGTTCACATATAAGTAAAGAATTTCATATTATTAAAAAATTTGAATGAAATATCTTACATATACATAAAAGACCCAAAAACTGAATAACTTAAGCTTTTTGGCTCAAATGTGTCCAACATATAATTATGAGCTCTCTAATGTGCTCTTCTGGGCTCTAAATATAGCAAATCTCTCAATAATTGGTATCAAAGCCAAAGTCAAGGATTCGAGTCCCAATAATGTTGATGGGGGGAAGATTATTGGCAGATCAAAGGTTGATCGCATCTACCAACTCCATGTGCTCAAACATCAGTATTAAAAGGTTTAACTTGAATGCAGCGAGTATATGATAATATGTAAAAATAAAACACCCAAGTGAGCAATACTGAGACAACCTAGGTGGCAAGGTTGAATGCTATGGCCTAGCCTAAAAGCACATTAGAGATGTGAGGTTGCCTGGCCCAAATGAGGTGTTGATAAGACTTACTCGTACAAGAAAATCGATATGGGAGTTGATCAGAACTCATAAGTGAACGAAGGGACAATGTTGGGATAAGGTTCACATATGAGTAAAGAATCTCATATCACTAAGAAATCTGAATAAGATATCTTATATCTATATGGATGACCTAAGAATCAAATAGCTTAAGCTTTTAAGTTCAAGTGGTGCCCAACATATATGTATGAGCTCTCTAATATGCTCTCGTAGGCTCCAAGTGTAGCAAATCTCCCAACAGGGAAGAGGTATAATGATGGGAGATTCAGGTTAATTTGGGATGAATTTTATGTTCCTAGATGTTAGTGGACGATGGTGATGACTGTGGCTATTATAGGCTAATGGGCTCAAGATCATCGATAATTGCTTTTTTTGCATTGACTAGTGATGGTGGAAATGGCTAGTTTTGAGTTGATAAGGAAATCTAATATTGGACACTGCTTAGTGAAGGTTGAGTCAAGGGTTGACAATAAAAACAAAGGTGAACTTGTGGTGGTTCAAGGGTGCTAATTAGTTACAAATCGGCCACTGGTTGTTAGGTCTTGCTCTACCCTATATGTGCTTGATTGTTATGTTTAAATAAATATCTAATCTTAATAGAATTCAAATCTCCAAAATGGGATTCCATTCTTTGGGACTTTTTTGCATTATCTCTTTTAATTTCAACTTTAATTCCAACCACTTTATCTTTGAAGAAGTTTTAATTCAAATCTAAATTCAAACATCATAGATTATTATTTTTTATTTTTTTAAATATAATAATAAAAATAAAATAAATAAATAAATAATAAAAACAATTATCAAAGAGTAAGTAGACTTGGTTTGGATTTAAAATCCAAACTAAAACCAAAACTCAAATGGTAAACCAAAACTAAACAGGCTGGACTCATGCCCAATTAGAATTTTGAAACTAGACCATTATGAATTAGTATCAAAGCACTCGATACTCGAGAACATTCCCAATAACCTCGGTCAGGGTGTCTACAATTTTCATATAAAAGAAACAATTTGCACGATATATATTATTTCCGATTTGCTATCAACGTCAAGAGTCAAGGCCCACTAATACCAGAACCAAATCACATATTAAATATTCAAGACCCAGCATATTAAAGGCAATTGGATAACAAAAAAATTTATTGAATTCCCCGTATATATATATATATATTAAATATCAACACATTTTTCTAATGTTTTTAAAAATTATTTCATACATATCATTTATTATCCTTTTTTTCTACCTTTATACTAATAACCTCTAGAGGAGGGTATACCTGTATTTGAATTTAGTGCAAACCAAGCTTTTATTATTTTCTTTGTTTAAATATCTGCCACGGCATGTTCAACTCGGTGAAAATACTACAGATCACTCGAGTCAATCCATCCTCTAACTCAGCAAAATCAGCCAAAGAATTCTCACTCCCACTCACATTCTTTGACATATACTGGCTCAAGTTTCCTCCTGTTGACTGTGTCTACTTTTATCAACTCAGTAAGTCAACCTCTAGCCCTTCCTATTTCTACTCAAAAATACTTCCTAGACTCAAACATTCCCTTTCTCTTGCACTTGTTCACTATATCCCTCTAGCAGGCAACCTCATTTGGCCATCAGATTCTCCCAAACCCATCATTTTATATACCCCAAATGATGGAATTTCACTTACAATTACCGAGTCCAATGTCGATAACTTTGAAATTGTGTCTAGCAATCGGATGCATAAAGCAAAGGAGTTGCATCCTTTGTCGTCTCATGATCTGTTGATGTCTGATGACAAAGCAGCACTAATTTCTTTGCAAATCACACTGTTTCCTCATCAAGGCTTTTGCGTTGGCACAAACGCACCATGCAGTTGTTGATGGTAAAACTGCAACCATGTTTATGAGGTCTTGGGTTATTTATGCAAACAAGCTGATGAAGCAAATGTATCCGATAATTAGCCACCAGAACTAACCCCATTTTTTGATAGGTGCATCATCAAAGATCCATCTAGACTTGACCTGTTGTTCTTGAAACAATGGCAAGCTTTTCTTGGGGAAGATAAAGATGTCAGTAAGAGAACCTTGAGAATTTAACCGGACAAACACCGAATTTCTGATGATATAATTCGAGCCACATTTGAATTCAGCCGTGAAGATATCAAAAAACTCAAGGAAATGGCTTTATCTAAATTGGGTACTAATCGGAAACTGCTTCATCTCTCGAGTTTTGTCCTTACACTTGCATATACAGCAACCTGCTTAGTTAAAACAAAAGGAGGAGAAGGTGACAGACTTGTTTCAATTGATTTTGGAGTTGATTGTCGGAATCGTCTAGATCCTCCTATACCAATAACTTATTTTGGTGATTGCGTGATGTGTGTAAGAAGTTCTGCAAAAAAAGCAAGAAATTTCACGGATGATAATGGCTTTGCTTTTGCTATACAACTGGTAAGTAAATTGGTTGAAGGATTGAAGAAGGGGGTTCTTGATGAGGCAGAGAAAAAGGTATCAAATTTGTTCACATCCAAGTTACAAGGATTGCAGGTTATTCTTGTTGCCGGAGCACCCCAATTAAACGTTTATGGGTTAGATTTTGGGTTGGGCATGTTGAAGAGAGTGGAGATTGTATCCACAGATAGAGATGGAGCCATTTTTATGACTGAAAGTAGGGATGGGAGAGGGGGAATTGAGGTTGGTTTTGCATTGAAGAAGCATGAAATGGAGAATTTCACCGCCTTGTTTTGCGGTGGATCAAGAAACATTACTTTAAGGTCTAAATTCTAGACATTCCATCGCATCAGGGTTGATGAAGTATTAAATTTTTAATTTTAAAATTCAAATATTGATAACCTCTCCTATTAAAAAAATCTAAATATCATTTAAATACCTTGTTTTTATGGGTTTCTCCATCGCAGCATACAAATATATTCTAATTCAGTTACGCTAATCAAATTTGAGTAAATGTCAAAATAATAGACCCAAGGTAAAACAAGTCCCGTAAAACATGTCATATAACCCGTAAATGTCAAAATAAAAGGAAAACAAGTCCCCGTAGTTTATATTTTATCAAGGATAAAATAAATAAATAAATAAATCCTTGAGTAAGGAAATCAACTACTATTTTATTTATTTTGAATTTATATTTGATAATAAAATAATATTATATAATTTATAAACAATATATAAAATTTGTATACTTAAAATGTATCAAATATTAATTATTTTGTTATTAACCTTGATAAAAATTACAAAATCTATCAATCATGGTATTAAAAAAAAGAGTTTATATTTGATGTATTATTAATGTATAAATTTTATACACAACTAATGAATCAGATGATATTATTTCATTAATCAAAAAATATCAATCCTTAAAATTAACTTACAAAAAATTAATATTTTTTAAAAACTTAATCATTAATAATTAAGATGATATTATCTAATTTATTTTATTAATAAAATAATATTATCTAATTTACTAATAATAAATAAAATTTATACACTAATAATACATCAAATATAAACCTTAAAAAAAAAAAATAGATTTATCAAGTACAACCAAGAGATCTCGAATCTTGGGATTTTTTTTTAAGTCAAAATCAAATCCATCACATATTTGATATTTCCCACCTTGTAGAGAATTGTTTGGTGTAGTTTTAAGCCAACCGTTGTTGAATGTTCAAAAGGAAAAATATAATAATTATTATTTTTCTTTTTGATAAAATTCAGTATAGAACTTTTTATTTAAAAACGAAAATTCTTGATCAATAATGTTGAGACGATTTTAAAATCAAATGAACATTTGTTTTAGAAAAGCACAAAGTCTATACTTGTCAAAATCAAGCTTATGCCAAATTTATTTTAATTTTACTAAATAGGGATAAGATATTAAATTATAATTATCTATTTATCCCAACCTCTATTTCTCAATCACATGAAATATTATGACTAAAACTAAAATAAAATGAAATATATAAGCAACAAATTAATTATTATAGAAACCATTATTCAAAATCAAAGGCAAGAATGTTATTGAGGCTCGTTAAATTTATTAATATGATTTTTTTAATAATTAATATGACTTGTTTAAATAAAAATAGTGGTCGGTTCTTTAAAAATACACAATTTATTTTTTTGCAAATGATAAATATAAGTTTTTATTTTAATAAAATTATTTTTTAACTACAAGTTAAATTTAGTGGCCACTTCTGACTTAGGGTCTTTTTGGATATACAATGATATCGGTTCTGATAAAATTAAAAATAATAATAGAAATAAAATTAGTTATTATTGCATTAAATTAAAATTAATGATGAGATATATGTGTGGATGTAAAAATAATGATAGCAATGAGATGAATTGTAATGAAAAAATTAAATTAAAAATTATATATGATAAAATTTTAAAATTATTTAATATTTATGAAATTAATAAATAATTATAAATTATTAAATTAATTCTATATCAAATCATAAATTTATTAATAAATAATTAAATTTTATTTATTTATTTATTTATTTATTATTTCATAATTTTTAAATAAAATAAAATAAAAGTTAAATTATAAAGATATTTTTATATTTACAACTTAACTTGAAAGATTAAAAAAAAAAAAAAAAGCAATTGTATATTACACCAAAATAGTCTAGTGAGCCATCATTACAAATCATGCCGCACTGAGATAACATTTGGATATCTTCAGCTCTGTTGACACAAATTACATGCAGACCGCACCACATTCAGGATAACGTAGAATCCAAACGTAGCCTTAACCAATTTGATCAAATTAGTTTTTATCATGGAAGGGAAGACTTTTTTTTTTAATAATAATTATATATTAAACATATACTTATATATACATTGTAGATAGGCTTTACATTGAATTAAAATTCTTACTTATAAATTACATAAATCTTATTAATCAAATAATTTATTTAATGAATGTATTTTAATGAAATTAGAATTCTTATTTATAAATTGAAAAAACCTTTTATTAATATATAAACATAAAAGATTTTAAATGACAATTTAAAATATTATGAACGTAAAAATCTGTTTTAATCAGTTCAGAAATTTTTAAAAATAATAATTTATAGAAAATACAAATAAGTATTCGATAATTTTTCTCATTCTTTTTATTTAATCATATATATAATGACATGAGATTTAATTTCTCGTAAACTCTAATTTCACTTTTGTTAGATGAAATTTAGTCAGTTAATAGTTATTTAAAGAATTATTATCTAAAAAATTTGATCATATTAATGATAACAATTCAATATAATTAAAGCTCTTTTTATCTATAAAACTAATCTTGTTATTAAAATTCAAAATTACAATAAATAAAAAAAATTAAATGAAAAAATATAAAATTTTAATAAAAGAGAATAATTTAATTACTCTTGAACTCTAACTTTGCTTTTGTTGATAAATTTAACCATCCAAAAATTATCTAGAGAATTATTATCTAACATATTCTACCATAAATGACTACAATTCAACATAATTGAAACTACTTTCTATTTATAAAACTATTCTTATTATTAAAAATTGAATTTATAATAAATGAAAATTAATTTAAAATGGCAGTTTAGGAATTTAATAAAAAATTGTTCATTTTCTTCAATTTAAAAAATTATCCTAGTCAATACTTATAGAGGAGGGACCAATTTATACAGTATAAAATTTTTATAATTTTATATTTTTTTAACTATTAATTTTAATAAATTTAAGGGATAAAATTAAATTATTTTTTTCTATTTCTACTTATTTCTCTCGTCTTTTGATCTATTAAAATTAAAGATAAAAAAATTTAAAACTAAAAAAATTTAAATATGAATATTATATATATATATATTATTACTTCTAAAAGTTCCTATGGAATATATTGGAACAATGAAATGTATTTGGAGTCTAACCGGATGCTCCAAGGAAGATTAAAGCCCACTTAATGGAATTTGCTAGGTCACGTAGCTTCGCTTTTTTCTTTTTTTCTTTTTTTATAAAGTAAGTTGTAGCTTAGAAATAACAAAAAAAATTATATATATTAAAATTTGAACTTTAAACATGTAAGACATCAATTTTTTAAAAGTATATGTATAAATCAATTAAATTAAAATTTGAGTTCATATAGCTTTGTTCTCTTTAGAACCTACTGAATTTGGTTCTTAAAAACTATATTAAAGGAAAATTAAATTTATGAAATTAATATCATTAAATGAAACAAATATAGGGTTTTAGTGGGAAAAATGTCACAAAATGAGTGATTGTTATAGAAAAATTTTAAGCTATCAATAAGAGTTAATTTTTTCATCTTATAAAATAAAATTTATCTAGATTTCAGTAGGAAACTTTGAAGATTCTCTTAGCACAAAGATTATTATGAATTAAATGTAATTATTAAACTGGATGTTTGAATTGATAGGGAATGATTCAATTATTATATTATAGTTTTAACTCTCCCGTTACATTCAAGTCGGATAAATGATTAATAGATTTGCACTGATAAAGGAACTTAAATTAAAGATTAAAAAAAACATTCCTTTGATATCATACCAGTGTTGGGGTCTAGTTTCGCTAGTCTATTATAATAATTTTTAATATTTTATTGATTTAGTAAATATTTAAATTAAAAATTAGAGTGATATATACAATTAATATAAAATAATTATTTAAGGAAAAATTAACATTGTTAATTGCTAATTTTAGAAGAGTTAGGCAGTAATATGACCTTATTAGAAAGCTAAACTCTTATAGTTACTTTAGTTAACACAAACCTGTTCTTTACACATTTTTTGTGAAGTCGTCGAACTATCATAACGTCTAGATCAGTAGACCTATCGCTTTATATTTACTTGAGGAGTTGCTACTTATCTTTTTTATTTAGGTGCAATTGGTCACCTAATCAAATCTGTCTCCTTTAAAGAAAAATCCTAAGTTTGGCTTAGGTATATTTAAAAGGTATATTCAATATCTATGAAACTAGAACTAGGTCCTAGAGTACAGTTACATATGAGAAAGGTTATAGCACCCTCACAACGCCCATTGAAAGATGATATTAGCTCAATTTTGTGTTATCCGATAAACTTAAAAATTTTACCAAATAATTAATTATTAAAAATTATTCTTAATTAACTCCAATACTTTTGGTCAAAAATTTAAAAAAAAATTTCTCACTTCAAGAGTATACAAGAAAACTAATGTTTCTCTTGTAGAAGCTCCATCGTCAGATTATTTAATATTTAAAAATTTTCCAAAGAAAGAAAAAGATAATATGAATAACGATTCGACTTTTGATATAGATTTTTCTTGTTGTTTTATAAGAAAAGACTCACGCTTTTATACAAGAAAAATTGATATTTTTAATTTTTTCTTTAAAATATTTTTTTTCAAATTTTTTTTTCAAGAAAAATTGATACTTTCAACTTTTCCTTAAAAATCCCTTCTTAAAATCTTTCTTTTTTTATTTTCAATTAAAATTAATATTTTTAACGTTTTCTTAAAAATATTTTTTGAAAATTTTTATTTTTAAGGGAAATTGATACTTTTAACTTTCCCTCAAAAATATTTTTTAAAAATTTTTGTATTCAAAAGAAATTGATATATTCAACTTTTCTTCAAAAAAATTTTTTTTTTCAATTTTCATTTTAAAAAGATCATTGAAAATTAAAGGATGTTTAATTAAATAAATAACTTATTTTAATTTAGTCAATAAATAAATAAGAAATAATAATAATCAATAAATAAATAATAAAACTAAATGAAAGAAAAAAAACCTTGACGTCAATAAATAAATAAGAAAAAAAATAAAATTTCTCTCCCTCTTTTTTACTCGGATGAATTCCGGTTGAATCTTTCATCGAATTTTAGAAATTCCATCGAAATCTAGGTTGGGTCCTTAGACGATCGTTGAAAAATTTATACTTTGCCTAAATCTTCATCAGATTCTAAAAACCCTAGCTAAAAAATTACCGAAAAATTTAACTGACGTCGAAAAATTATCGAAAACTAAAAAATTTCGTCAAATTCTAAGAATTTTCTAGATTTTTCTAGAAAAATTGTTTTTTTCTTCCTAAACCTATAAATCTTCAAAAACCTTTCTGATTGCTTTCTACTTGTGATTTTTAATTTCTATTTTTGTGTGTTACTTTTGTTTTTCCCTATCTATTATATTTTTTTCTGTGTATTCAAGCCTATATTTATAGGGTCTCAAATCCGAGAACCCTAAACAAAATAGAATTTCAATCTCTTTTGGGTCTTACTTTTGAGTTTTAATCTAACTTAAAATTCCCCAACCCAGTCCTACCCAAATCCAACCTTTATTTTTTTATTTTTCTCTTTTTTTCCTCATTTTATTATTTTTTATTTTTAACAAAAATCAAATGTAAACCCCAAACAGATTGGGGTGTATACACCTATTACAAACAAAAAGTAATTTACCATAAAACAATAACATTCAATGTTTAATAATCAGCTTCAATATGTAAAAAGTAAAAATCATTTTCTAACCTAACATAGTATCTAAGCAGCAAATCAATGCTCCTTAGATTGTAAAATTTTTCAAACCTAAAGTGCTAAAGAATTGATAGTCAATCAAAAAGGGAAGAATAAAGCTTACAAAGCTACTTGTGAGTATCTAGGATTACCTTTCTCAAACTTGAACTCCTCTCTACAAAGTCAAAACATAATATATGCAAACCAACTACAGTGAATTGAGAATCATACTACTTTATTTATAAGTAAAAGATGATACCATGTACAAAAAAGAAATGTTGTCACCTTCATCAACCTGTCTTTCTTTTGACAGACATCTAAATAAAGTAAAGCCTTCTTATACTTTGTAAAAACCATCTTATAGTATTGTTTCTATTAAGTAAATTCATTAACGCAAATAAGACTTCAAATGAGAAACTAAAAAAGAATGAGAAAAAAAAGAGAGAAAGAATAAGCAATAAATCTAAAAAGCACCATCTTGAAATATCAAATGTAGTAAGAATATTGCATAAGCACAGTCCTATTTGGCAATGAACCCATTACTACATTAATAAACATCAATAAGCCTATTACCTTATAATGTTCATTTCTAAAAGCTTTAATAGAAGCCACAACAGTCATCCACCAAGAGAGTTCATTAGTACTCTCATCAATGTCAGCTAGCCAATCACAATAAATATCACCACAAATATCACCATCATTGAAAAACTTGGATATCCCATCATCTGCCCCCTCTAAAATCATAACATGTTTGATTGGACGAACAATTCTCATTCCTTTGACAACCTTACCAAATACAATAAGTTCTCCATCTAAATGAAAAGTGAGAGTTGTAGTGATGAATAATAGAGACCCATTTGTGTTAAGACCAGCATTTGCCATAGATAACACTCATTTCTTTTCATGTTGCAATTGAAAATTTTCATCTTCAAATTTTAAACCATAAATTGACTCTCCTCCAATACCATCTCTAGCAGATATATCTACACCTTATACCATAAATCTTTTGATAACATTATATAATAATTTTACAACACTTAGATTAAATTTGAAGTTATAGTATAGGTACAAATACGTTTATTCATAGTTATGGTAGATGATAACTTTAAAAGTATTATGTGTGATCATTGCCAAGATACAATAATCACCCTTTTTCAAGTGATTATCAATAACAAATTTGTTTTGGGAGAACGTTCAGTATAAAGTTAACTTTCTTTTTGCAGAGGAAAACATAAAAGACATTAAAGAAAATAAAGAGATCAAGACTCAAAAGAACTAAAAGTAAAAGGGAAATTAGAAGACATGGAAAAGCTTCCATCTGTTTAGTATGTGAAAATCTTCTGCTATTTGTAAAACATTAATTTTGATGAGGAAAATATAGGCATTTTTAGGGGAAACAAATATTATGAAGGATATCCCATTAAATTTTGAAAACCATATTTATTACTACTATTAATTAGAAATTGAAAAATTAGGAAAAAAATTAAGCTCAAGCTTAAATCCACAGCTTAATTGATTTATTCTTTTAAAAAATAGCATGTTTATACCTTCCATTATATTATACTTTTATTATACTTCCCATTTAAGCTTATACCTTAATCTTGACTAAATTATTAAAAAAGGCTTTAAACTGTTTAATTTTATTTAATTAAACTATTTATTTCATTTGTATTCATATGTCTTTATTTCAAATAAAAGATTGATTTATATTAAAGACTTATTTAGGTATAAATTAAATATTAAAGGTTTATGTGCATAAAAATTAAAAGTTAAATGTTTATTTATATGTAAATTAAAAATTAAGAGCTTATTTGGATATAATAATAATATAAGAATTTATTTAAATAAAGTAATAAAATTGAGAGTTTTTTGTATTATTATTATTTTAGCCCTTAATCTTCTAAATGAAAAGTAATTAATCTTTTCAATATAGGTTTAGTTATTTGATCTTCTTGTTTGGTAACCCAACTTTGAATAATCATTAAGTTAGATCTTACATTACTTTTTAATTAAAATATTAAGCATGTAAAAAAAAAACATATATGTAAATATAAATTATGAAATATTAACAATAATCTCAAAATTATGAAAATTTTGGATGATATATAGTTGTTATGGACATGTTTTTCATATATAGCTAGGCTTAAAACAACCATATATAGCATGCATGCATGGTTATAGACATGTTTATCATTTTCAGTGAACCTGTGTGATTTTCGTTTTCTATTTCTCTTCCTACCACATTTATGATAAACAGTCATAATAACAAATAGATAAATGCAAACTCCTACTGCTTTGCTTTCTTATATACAAAGTGCATGGGCAAATCATTAGCCAAGCTGTATACTTTTTTAGGATAAAAACATACACTGATTATTGATTAATTGAAAAAGAAAATTCAATACCAACTATGATTACTGAAGCATGATACTTGAATAAAATCCAATAAATGTGGAACAACCAGAAAATTTTGCCTTTTGTTTAAACATTGTTTATTATTAATATTTATTCAAAGCACATCATTTGACAGAGCTTCTCACAAACAACTAACAAAGCAAACATGATAATTGGTTTCAAACCTTTCCAGAAGTCGTCGATCAATGTCCATCAATTTTGTCACATTCTTGTCACCATCACAAAAAAACTATAGAATCTAAGATGGAAACATATGAAAAGAGATATGAAAGCTTATTTTTCTTCAACCATCTCTAAAAAAAATCAAAAGGAAACTTAGCTCAAAATCCAATAATTTGCTTATATGAAAATTTTCCAATGAAATCCTTTGTTACCACTCCATTCTATAAAGAGATAACGAAACTAAATATCTCAAAAATAGACATGATCAATTGTATAACAACACCTAATTTTATTTTAACCAAAAAAAGTGAAACATATACAAAAATGCTCATTTAGGGAAAAAAGCTCAATAGAATCTAATGATGAATCATTAGCTTAGAAAAACTAGTATAATCAGTAGGTAGATAACTTTCAAAATTAAGTTCATTCATGAAAATGTAAATCGTAACTTGTATTTTAATACTTATTTTATACATATTTGTCTATGTGGGACATGAATAAACACATGTAGCTTAGAGGAATCAATTGAGAGGCAATGAGAGCAATGGCTTCTATATAATTAAGCCTAAGCCCTCATGCCAGATGCTTTAAAGCAAGGTACCCTGTAGTATGAAGGCCTAGCTTCTCAACTTCTGCATTATGAACTCTTCTAGGTGACTATTTATAAAAAGGCAAAGGATGGTTTAATCTAATACCAAATGCATTTTTTTAGTTAAGGAAAATTGAAATAGGTAAGATAAATGAATACATGCTCAATATAACAGTTGTTGTAGTAAAGGCAAATTTACAGAATAAAAAATTATAGTAAACTTCAACTTAATCCCCAACAACATTTAACAATACCTGTATAAAAAAATGCTAATTAAACAAAAAATGCAACCCAATCCAAAAAAAAAAAAACCCAATTTGATTACCATTTATGCAACATATAACAAACATTTTAGACAAAACATTTTAGACAAATATTTTAGAAAAAAATCCAAACATAACAACATATATTCTAAACAAATTAAAGACAAAAAAAAATATAGCATTGAAAAAATTTTGTTCAAAATCCCCATGATTTATTTAAAACTTTTACATGTCTCCATTAATATAAAAAAAAATATCAAAGAATCCATACCTAATCAATTGCAACAAAAATAGCTAGTTCCATAAATGCAAAACCATACATTTCACTTACAATCATCCTACATTTAACTCATTACTTAATTATTGTAAACATCAAACAAAAACAAAATTGATTTAAAACATACCATCCAAACAAAGGATTGGAAACCAATTGACTTATTAAAATTAAATTCACAAATTCATGAAACTCTCTTCCACAGCTTCCCTCTCATTATTTCATTCGCTCTAGGTTTTCACCCGATTTAAGAGTCTTTGGTTAGATATGATCCACCTGAATCGTAAGTTTATTGGAAACTTAGCTTCGTGACCTCTAATCAAGTTAAGATTTAAATATTGGACTTTTTGAAAAACTATGACATTTCCCCAAATTGGTGTTGCAAATTAAGAAAGTTTCCAAAGAGGAAAAGATAGCAAAAAAATGTCATTGAAAGGAGCAATCCATTTAGAAAGATATGGGTAAGACTAGACTATGAAAGAACATGGCAAAGGAAAAAAAGAAAGGCAATAAAGATAGTAGAGCCATTGAAACCTATTAAGTAAAAGAGAGATGAGTCAAACAACACTTACACCTGTAAAAGCTATTAGATGCCACATGTGTACCCTTATCTTATCATTGCTAACAACCCATCGGTAGAGACTCAAATATAAAATTCTTAAAAAGAAAAATTTTATCATCATGAAGATCATTAAGGATCCTTTTTATATAATGTAGTATTGATTAGAAGTTGGATGATGGATTGTTTCACTCCATTCATCTTAAATTTAAATTCAAAACCTTCAACTTCAAGATAAAGAGTTATGATATAAGTTTTCTTACATACATCAAATGTAAATTTCTTGTATCTAAGCATTTGACCTAAGTATAGATAGAAAGCATTTCATCTACAATTTTTTTATTATAATCTTATAATTATCCAATCACATTAAAGAATTATGTAAGAATATATTACTTATAAATGTGTGTTGTATATAAAATTTTGATGGATCCTACATAATTTTAAACTGTGATTGATTAAAGATTAAGTACAAAATGCCTTTTGTACAATACACTTTCTATCAATTTAGTATATAAAGAAATAAAATTCGTAATTAGCTATCCGAACTTTCATTCTGTCATACACTTCGATATTTTGGACTAACGTCATTAATGGAGTTGTTAATATGACATTAATACCCAATAAAATTATAACACATATAAAAAAGTCTAATTATCACTACTTCATCATTGTCATGTCAATATTAAAAAAATTCAAAAATTCAAGATTAAAAAAAAAATCTAATAGATTTTTTAAAAAATCCATAAATTTTGTGGAAAATAAAAACTGCAAAAACATATTTTGAAAATTTTAAAAAATTCAAAAAAATTGAAAATTAAAAATCTGAAAAATTTTCAAAAATCACAAATTTAAAAAAAAATTGAAAAATTTTTAAAATGTTCCAAATTTTTGAAAAATGAAAAATATGAACAATTAAAAAATCCAACAAATTAAAAAAATTTTGAAAAACTAAAAAATTTTAAAAAGTGAAAAAATAAAAAATAGTAAAATTTTGAAAAAAATTCCCAAAATCTCAAAAAAAAAAGTGAAAATTTTTTTAAATTCCAAAAATAGCCAAAAAGAAAATTATATGAAACATTTTTAAAAATTCAAGATAATTACAGTAAAATTTTTAAAAATTAAAAAACAAAATCCTAAAGATTTCACAAATCTAAAAAAATTATTGAAAATCCCAAAAATCTAAAAAAATTTTAAAAAATTTTATATAAAATTTTTAAAAAAGAAAATATCATAAAATTTTGAAAAATAGAAAAAAAAAAAGAACTTTGAAAAAATCTAAAATTTCTTAAAGAATAAAAAAAATTTAGAAAAATTATAACAAAATTGAGAAAAGTAAAAAAAAAATCTGAAAACTTAAATATTATAAATTAAAAATATAAAAAAAATTAAAAACAAATCATAGATGGATAAAATTTATTTTTCATTTTTTTAGATTTTAATTTTTTAAAAAATTTTAAATTTTTCTAATTTTTCTTTTTTGAATATTTTTGAATATTTTTAGATATTTTTAATTTTTAATAATGTTTATTAATATTTCAGTTGTATTTTTTATTTTTTAGACTTAAACTTTTTTGGATTTTTAAATATTTCATTTTTTTAAAATTTTTTAAATGTTTCTTTTTTAATTTTTGGGATTTTTTTGAAATTTGTACTATTTTTTATTCTTTTGTTGTTGAATTTTTTGTTTTAAGAATTTGTTTCTATATTTTTTTTAATTTATCATTTTTTCCTTTTTAAAATTTTTTTGGAAGTTTTTAAAAAGTTCTCAAATTTTCTTTTTCTGAATTTTTTGAGAATTTTTTGAATTTTTCATATTTTTGGAGATTCTTAGGATTTTTAAAAAATTTTAATTTTTTAATTTAAAAAAATGTTTTGAATTTTTTGGATTTTTTAAAAATATTTTTATTTTTATTTTTTGAATTTTTAGAATTTTTTAAGAATATTTTTAGATTTTTTGAATTTTTCTCCCAATGATGATGTGAGGACGTTTTTGTCACATATCATGGTTTTATCATATATTGATGTTATATCAACAATTTTATTAATAACACTAATTTAAAGTAGCAAAGTGTATAATAAAATAAAAGTTCAAGTATTTAATTGTGAATTTTATTCGGTCAAATATCAAATTGACAAAAAATTTATAATACATAAGCCATTTTTATATTAACCCATTAATTAATTGTAATACAATAATTATAATTTGTAAGTGAATTATGACATTCTCTATACATTAGTATATCATTATGACATTCTCCATACATTAGTATATCTTTCAACTAAAAATATTTACTCCCTCTATCCCTTTTTTTTTTTTTTGTCCATATTTTTTTTAGGATGTTCCAAACTTATACCTTATTTTCTTTTTTAAACATCTAAAACTTTTTTTTTATATTTTAAAATTATATTTTATGATTTTTTTTTACTTTTTGACATTAAAAATCATGAAATTTTAATTTTATAAAAAAAAATTAATTTTAATATTAAATACATTAAAATCTAATTTTTTTCTTAAACTCTATAAAAATTAATATATAATAAATATTTTAGGACGGAGGAAATATTTCAAAACTCCTAAAAAGCATTTGCATAATTATAATTAAAAATTTTATTTGGAGATTTGAGTTCTAATCTTAAGGACAAGAGGGTAAGATTTATGAATAAGAGAGACTTGTCTCATTTTGTATAGATCAAATTCAATGTAATTTTATTTTTAATGGGATTTCATATATAAATTTAAAAAAAAAAAAAACAACTAGTAATTTAGAATATTTCCTTCTTCTAAAGTCCAAATAAACTGTTTATGACTTTTTTTTTAAAAAAAATACTATTTTAAATTTAGACTTTTGATTGGTGTTTTATTTTTTATTTTTTAGTATTTATTCTTATTTTCAATTCGCTTTTCAATTTAATCTTTTTTATTAAAAATAAAAACAATTTTTAAAAATTAAATTAAAAAATTAAAAAACAAAAAAGAAGAAAACCACACAAACCGTATAGAGAGAACCTAACACAAAAAAATTGTAGGCAAGTAGAGAAAAATACCTCCAGAGTTCACAAGTGGCTTTCACTCTCTCTCCCCTTATTTTCCTATTCCAATTGTACTTTCTTTCTCCTTCTTCCTCTTCCTTCTTCCTCTCTCTCCCTGCAACTAAAACAAACCACTGTGCCATCTTCACCCCTTTGAAAGAACTCTCATTGCTCTCAAAGCCTTCAACATTTTCAGGTACCATTTCATTCCCTTTTCCCTTAGATCATTTTATTTTCTTCTCTGTCCTCTTCCTTTCTTTACTCTTAAGAAAAAAAAAAAAAAAACCTTTTCTTTTAATTTTGCTTGGCGGGTATTTGTTTAATTTTTGTTTTTTGCATTTATTTCTTTGATCAATCATTATAAAATTTTTTTATTGGAAACTGGATTTTTAGTTATGGGTTTTTTATGTTCTTTTTTAGTTTATAGTCTAAATGTTGACTAAAAATGTTGGTTGATTTATTAAAAGCTGTTGGTTTTCTTCAATGGGTATTTCTCTTTTTTTTTAGAGTTTTTTTTTTAGCTACTTGCTAGTTGGATCCATTGAATGTGCTACCTTTTTTTCGAATATCTAGCTTTGTTTTATTTTTTTTATTGTTCTAGATGAATACTTGGCTTAATGCATTTAATTGTTAGGATTTTCATGAGAATGTAGCAGTCTTTTGTTAGAGAATGTAGGTAAAATAATGTAATTTAAGCCCTTTTATGATTTTATTTTTCTCTAGACTTTGCAGTTTTAATAAAAATTGTTGGTATCTAGTCTCTTTTGGGAAGTTTTTAACGGAAATTCTTTTTAATTTGTTTTTTTTCTTTGTTTCTTTCCGTTTTGTTATTTCAGTTTCCTCATGCATTTCTATAGTTTTGATACTGCCTGAATTGTGTAAAACCGTCCATATTTAAGTTTAGATGGCTGTCTTTGAAGATATGTTCTGGTGGTGATATTATACGTTGTGTTTTCTTTCAGCTGATGGCATTGGAAACAGCAACTCCCCCACCTACTCCCAGTGCCCAAGTTGTTGGAAATGCTTTTGTAGAGCAGTATTACAACATTCTTTACAACTCTCCAGAATTGGCCTATAGATTCTATCATGATTCAAGTGTGATTAGCCGGCCAGATTCCAATGGTGTGATGCAATCAGTGACAACCATGCAAGTAAGCTCCTTTGGGTGTTATTACTTCTCAATGTTGTTGTTTTAGTTGGTTCTAAGACTTTCTAATCATTCATCCTTAAATGTTTCATGTGAATCATTAGCATGTTATATGTTCCTATAATTTGCTTGATTCTATATGCAGTGTACTTTTGCATCACCAAATGGTCTTTTGATAGCTACTGTATGGTTAAAGGGCAGTATAACCCAATGTTTATGATTTAGATGATGCTAAATTTGAGCATTGGTGCTTGAGTCATTAGTTTTTTATCAATAAAATTATTGTGGAGTTAATTTTCTTTTAAGTTAGGGTATAATGCTTCATAGGATAACCCATGTCATAAAAGTGGGATTCTTTATTTTGGCAATAAAATGTGGGTTATGCTTTGTGCATTTTTTGTCTTTATATGCTGACAAATGTTGTTTGTTTCTGCTGCTATCATTCCACGAATAATCATATTAATTTAGCTTAGTTGGAGCTTGAATTATTATTTTTCTTTTTGGTTTTCGTCAAAAATCTGGTATTATGTTCTGAAAAATGTGTCAATTTTCTGGCACATAATATTTGTCTCTGATTTACAACATTGCCCACCCATGTGGTAAAACTTGAACATTTAGTATTCAATTAGGTAAACATGAGAAATTGGTCGCTCACACATGCTCTAGCTCTCTCTCTCCCATCCTTCTCCCCTTTAAACATATTTTTTCTTTTGGGAAGTTGAAACTGCGATATTAGCGTCCTTTTCAGATTCCAGTAGTAACAAACAACAATGTTTAATTGTCTTGTGTTATAACTGCTGTCAGTATCATCCACTGCAAAGAAATTCCAATATTGTTTTTCTTGAACAGGGTATTAATGAGAAGATTCTTTCCTTGGATTACACAAACCATAAGGCTGAGATTAATACTGCTGATGCTCAGAAGTCTTATAAGGAAGGAGTAACTCTACTAGTAACCGGATGTCTAACAGGAACAGATAACTTGAAAAGAAAATTTGCACAATCTTTTTTCCTTGCTCCCCAAGACAATGGGTACTTTGTTCTGAATGATGTATTTAGATATGTAGAAGATGGTGAACCCTTGGAGAAACATAATGTTAATGGTGTTCATGATGCTCCTAGAGTGCCTTCAACACCAGAACCAGGTAAAGTTATTTTGTTTTCTTATTTTTCTTTTCCTTATGTTTTATTGAGATTTCTTTCGATATTCTTGTAATTTTTGATTCCAGAGCCTAATCGAGTGGTGGATCCTTCTGCACCAGATCCGGGAACTGCTCTTGTGGAAGAGAACCAAAATGTTGCTGAGCAAGTTTATGAGCCATCAGACCAGGAAAGACAGGTGGTCAATGAAAAAGAGGCTGTTTTAGATTCCCAGTCTCATTCAAATGGTGATGATATTCCCATAATTGTTGAATCAGCTTCTTCTTCAGCCCAAGAGGACACTCCAAAGAAATCTTATGCATCAATTGTTAGTTTATAAATGAATATGATTATTTGCAGTATTTGCATCCAGTTGCTCGTTTAAGTTTATTAGTTATTGTTGTAGGTGAAAGTACCAAAAGGGGTTTCAGTGCCAACTAGAGTCTATGTGCCTACTAATACTACAAGAGTGACACCCAAGAAAACTGAGAACCAGCCTCTTGTGTCCATAGCACCTGCACCACCTGAAGCATCTGCACTTTCCAGCATTGATGCCCAAGAGAGTAACAATATTCCTGAGGAAGGTATCTTGCGTGCTTGTGTGTGTGTGTGTGTATGTTCTTTTTACAAAAATGAACTGTTGAAAGTGAATAAAAAATTATATGCTACTTCTTTACTCTAGGTATGTGTGAACTGACATGATGTTATAAGTTATAATGCTTTCAGTACAAGTAACTGTGTATTAACTCTATATAACTCACAGTTGAGGGCCATTCCATTTACATTAGAAACTTGCCCTTCAATGTGACATCTTCACAGCTGGAGCAGGAGTTTATGAGGTTTGGACCAATCAAGCAAGGGGGTGTCCAAGTTCGAAACAATAGGGTTGGTTGCTGACGCATTGAATGGATAGATTATATTCTCTTTCACTTGCATTCTTTTGTTGATATTTTATCTTCTGTTTCTTCAGCAACAGGGATACTGTTTCGGTTTCGTTGAATTTCTGTCTTTGAGCTCCATGAATGATGCAATTCAGGTGTGGCCCTCTTTTGATATACATTGATAGAATTTTTCAAAAATTTCAATTTTTTTCTTTTAATACTTCTGACTTCCCTTGATATCAAGCAAGGTTTTGAAAATTATATGGGATGAGTTACATGTTCTTGACACCCCTGCCCCCTCAACCCGTCCCCCACCTTGAGTCTTTCAACCAATTGGGGAAACAAATTTTTGTCAATGGCATCTTTTTTAATTTTTTTGTTAATGCTTTTATACAAATTCCAGCATAGGACAGTGCAACTTTGTATGTCTTTAGGATCTTATTAGCTTCTCCATTGATCACCTATAGATTCGAATTATATATAGGAACCATGGAGCAAGCATCAACAGCGCAAATTGAGAGCAAATCAACCTTTTTAAGTAGTATTTTTTTTCTTTTTCTTTTATCAAGTTACCTTGCTTTGGCAAATTATACAAAAGTTGACACTCAAAAAATAATTCTTTTATCAAATGCTTGGTGCATTTATTGATTATTCTCCTAACTTGGTGCTTCGCTATTTTTGTTGGTTGAATCTTATTCATTTGTGCAATAATATGCAACCACTTTCATGTTGTCCAAGTGTCCAAACCTTCGTTTAGATTTTTATTCTCTTCCTCTCCCCTCCTTTCTCCTCATTTGCATGCATGTACCGTGCCAAGCTAGAGATGAAATTACCGAAACCTTTTCATCAGTTATTTGTTTAACAAGTAGTTACTACATCTTTCAGAGCTTGTTGGCATTGTCTCTTTTATTGAGATGGGTTATAAAAATTAGAAGAAAAATGTATGGTGTGTGTATATTGAAGTTCACATAATTCACATTACAAATTGATGCATGAACTAGGAAAAATGAGTTCGGCATGGCCAAGGCTCTTGTCTGGAAATGTACTGGTTAGATTCTTGGATTTTCGGATAAGATTGACAAAGTTTTCCGAAGATATGCAGAAATTTATTTCCTTTATTTAAAAGAAAAAACCATTTGTGAATTCAGAGAGAAAACTATATCTCTAGGTTAGTGACCTTTTTAGATGTGTTTGGGCTCTCATTTAATTTGAGGCTGTATGTTATTTTCTACATATGATATGGGATGTTGTAGATTGATTTTAAAAAGCCTAGTGTGATCTCATACTCGTTCATGCAATGGTCATAATGCATGGTAACTTATCATTGCATACAGTAAGCTTTCATATGGCTGAGCTGATGCTGATCATGGTCTGTTTCTATCAGATGAAACTTTAAGCATGGCACCTGATTCTTTAGATGATGGGCCTGTATTAGAACCATTTCATATATGCAGTGCCGTGAAGATAACTAAAAGATATTGTATTGCTTGAAATGGTTCTTACTAATGTGCGCCCCACGCCCTTTGAAACCTTTTATGTCCACCTGAGTTGTTTATGGCAAGATGACAATTTTCCCTTGCTTACCTAAGTTATTGGTTTTCCTTTTCAAATCACATCTTTATCCTAGCTTGCTGATATCATCCATTATATTCGGTCATAACTACAAATGCCATACTTTAAATGTTATCCCTCAGTTGAAACTTTAGTGAGTACTATTGTTTCTTTTTTGTTTTCTTTTCTCTTGAGTAGCAGTTTTGTCCATTTTCTATTTGAAGTTTACGTTTTAGGGCATTGGGCTTATTGAGTAATAACTTCAATATTCAGGCTTCACCAATAATAATTGGAGAGCGTCAAGCTGTTGTGGAGGTAAAGAGAACTTCGACTAGAGGTAAGTAAAATGTCTCAACTTATTGATGTGCCCTTCTTTTTATTATTAGAATATAAAATTTCTGCGCGAAAACTCTTCAAATTTTGTAAAACTACGAAAAAAAATGGAAATGGTGTTGATTAATTTGTGATAGTTAACGTAGATAGTGGATGAAGTGTAAAGATCAGACATGTCTAATGAAGTTGTCAATGCTGCTGTTTCTTACAGTTGGTAGTGGAAGAGGTAGCTTCCATTACAGAAGGGGAGGGTTTCGAAGTGACAGCTTCAGGGATCGCGGAAACTATGGTGGTAGCCGAAGCTTTGGCAGAAATGAGTATGGAAACCGAGGTGAATTTTCTGGTCAACCTAGGGGTTCAGCTGGACGAGAAGGGAGAGGGAGAAGTGTCCGTTCAAGTGGACCGAAACAGACTTATGCTTCTACTTGAAACCCAATAGAGTAAAACTTCGTTTCTTGGCGGAAAAGTTTTTTTTTTCATAGGGTTAGTGCTCAACATTTTGGAGGAATTGGAGTTGGTGAGTTTATCTTAGTAATTAATTTAACTAGGAATCGAATGTTGGAATCAATGAATGAAAGGCAGTGATGTATCTTAGATATTCTGTTAGAGAATTTTGTGAAGAGCCTCTTATTACCATGCCAAACAATTTCTGATTTTCTGTTGATGGAAATCACTTGAGTTTGTGGTGACCCTAACTTCAAAATAGATCAAGACCCTTTTTTTTCTCTGGTTTTTTTTTTACTGTCTTGTAATTGTTCAAAATGGATATGACTTTTTGACTGGTATGATACATTCCATCATTATCATCTCTTCTCTTGTTATTATAACAATGGCAATTGAACATGTTTTAATTTTGCAATTCAAGTGGATTATTTTTTATTTAATGATGGAATTTTTAAGCTCAACCAACCTTCTAGCAAAATAAAATGTGGATAAATAAAAATTAAGTCTTTCATTGCCCTATGATTATAGCTAATGTTCTATCCAAATCCAATAATTTGGTGGAAAATTTTGTTTTTTTTTTTTTCCGCAGTCTGATTATAGAATCTAGTCCTGATCAAAAAATTTTGGAAGTTAGTTGAACCTTACTTTGGCTGTTTCCCTCTTGTTTCCTCTTTGCAACTTGATTGACTGCTTAGCTGTTTCCATGCAACGGGAATTCGCAACGTGTATTTCCTTACAACTTAAGCCACGTGGCACAAACCTAGATCACTAATCCAAAAGGTTGTACCGTCGGAAAAAAAGTGTGCAAGTTGGGGCTTTGGGACCCCACTCTCCGATCTCCTGTTGATTTTATGCGTGTTCTTCGGAGATTCCCCTGCTCCTATGTCCTTACTTTCTTTTTTTTGCTTTCTCTTTCTTGTCTTGCTGTCCTTTTTATATTTTAAAATATTAACCAACGTTTTACCGTATCCACAAGCATTTATACACGTATCGTATTTTATGTATGTCTCGCATATGTATATACATTTTTTTAGATTGCTCCGACAATCAATTATTTTTTAAAAAAAATAGGATCCGTCATTAATTTAAAATTAATTGATTAATTTAATATTTTTTAAAAATATCTATTTACTATAGTGAATATTTATTTTTTAAAATTATACTCATAATAAAAATTATATTTATATAATTAAAAAATCAACTAATATATTATAATTTAATTAAACAATCAAATTCACACGTAATGAATATTTGTTGAATGTTGGTATAGAGGATAATGATTATGAGTTGAGTGATTAAAAATTAAAAAAATATGTTCAAAAAAATTAAAATTATTTAGAGAAAATTTTTGAGAATTTTCAAAAGAATTTTTTTAATTTTTAATTTTTAATATTTTAAAATACTTTACCTTTGCATTTGCATTATCATAATGCAAATTAAGACTTAAATATAAAATTAATTTTTACATCAAAAAAATAAATTTAATTGATTGAACTAGCTTATTATAATATGTATATACGTTAATATATGAATAAAATGCTATCAATAAAAAATAATAAATTTGAAATTAAATATTAAATTTAAATTATTTATATAATTATTCACAAAAAATTTATATTTTAACACTTATATTTTTTTAATCTCTAAATTACGATCTCTTTAAATATATATATATATATGTAAACTCTAAGAACATAATCTAATTGATTAGTGGCTCATTCTTTGACAATAATATCGAATATATGACTTTGCAATGATATAAAATTCATCTTGTTTCGATTCAATCAACTAAACAATACATAACACTTGGCCAACAAAACTCTTAAGAGGTTGATCATCAATAGCCTCTAACATTCTTTTATTATGAATTGTTCGATTATGTATAATACTATTTTTTTTTTATAAAAATATCACAAGATCTGAAAATAAAAAAATAATTACATATATTAAATTTATTAAATTAAATATAAATTTTGCTAATGAATGTTTTAAAGATATGCACTTAAGGAGTATTTTAGTGTGATAAAGTAACTTTATTGTTAGTGTGAGAATATTTCCTTCAAGTAAAAAAAAATAAACTACTATTTGATTGACAATGACATGAACTTAAGGAAAAAGATCCAAAGATTTGAATCTAATACCATGATTAATTAGTGACACCAATTTTAACAAAAAAAAAAGGAGAAAATAAAACTAAGAACTTACACTATTTTGTTTTTTTTATCTTTCATCTTTTTGCATATAAATTTCATTTATCTTATCTTATGTTGTTACTTTAAAATATGTTTAATGTATAAAATTATTATAAGATTCGATAAGATAATATTATAAATATGATTAAATTAAATAATTTTATTTTATTTTATATTTGATGTATATAAAAATTAAAATATAATAATTTGATTTATTGATTAAAATTATGTTTTCTTAAAATTTATATATTTAAATTATTAATATAATTTTTAAGAGTATAATAAAAAATATAAATTTTTTTAAATTAAAATTAATTATTTTAAGATTTAATTATTTTATATAAAGTAATAATTAATTTTTTTATAATTAAAAATATTTTTAAATACAAATCAAATATCATATAAAATAATTATTATTTTATACACTTATGCTAATCTTAACAGATATTTTTATTCTCTCAAGCTAAAATATTAATAAGAATTTTTAAAGCAACAATTGATATCGTGGCATTGATTCCAAAAATGTCATATCAAACTCAAATGTCGTTTGCAATGATTTTTCGCATCATTACACTTTTATTTTTCGTTTGTTTAAGAGGATTTTACTTTTTGTAAATCTTTTTTTTCAAAATCAACGAATATTTGTTAGTTATTTCACTCAAACCAGAGGGTTAAAATAGTAATTAAAAATAAAGTACTGTGGTATAAAAAATATAAGTTAATGTTTGAGTTTATGATACATTTTAATTATTTCCCATTTTGAAATGTGATGTTATTTTTTATCATTTACTTTTATTTCTTAAAAACTTTTAAAGAAGTGAATTTAATTAAAAATAATAATAATTAAACTAAATATTAATTATTAAAATATTAATTTTTTTTTTTAATTTCATACTTTCAAAAGGATTAAGGTTTCATAAGATGACAACAAAAAAATTATTCCTACTACATCGTATAAGATTAAGATCCAATGAAAATTAAAATAAACAATATTCGTTGGTCGTTAATCAAACACCCATGGATGCTACGTTATCCACGGAAAGACCACTCCTTACGTGTCAGATAGAGATCGCGAGTAGATGTCCACAAGCGTACACGTTCAGACAAAAACCTTAGAAAGATTCCAACACGAATGCCGAGGTTGTCTATCCACGTGTCATCTCCCATTCTCATCTTCAGCTAAAGCTTAGCCCCTGAATTTTTTAAAAAAATTAAAAAGGTTTTATTACACTTACATCCCATATGATTTCAAGTTTTGCAAAACATATCCTTTTTATCTTTTGCACTATACATCTTGCAATTTCAACATGTTATAACTTATAAGAGATTACAAACATTAAATTTTATCAAAAAAATTCCAGAAGCACCCTTATGTCTCAAAAGAAATTATTTTGTTGACATATAAGATTAATTTTATAATTTTACTAGATAATTGTTGATTATTTATAATTTCACTAGATAATTGTTGATTGTTTTTTAAGACATATAGATTTTGATTTAAACAGATAATCTAATAAAAATAATAGACTTGCAAAAGAATAGGTAATAGTGGAGCTAGAATTTGAGCTCTTAAGCATGTTTTGACACTTAAATGAGTGATTTATGCAAAAAGAATGTAAGTTGAATGAGAGAATTATACAATTCTAAGGGTCATTATTGTTATACCATAATCAAAGTTTAAGATTATTATTGTATAACTACAATATCATTAATAAATTATCATATAAATAACAAAATTAATTATCAAAATACTAAATACATAAAAATAAAAGTTCTATTTTTTTTTATATTAGTGAGTAGATACAAACTTATCTTCTCTCTTTATTAATTAATTTTTTAAAAATTTGAAAACTTTAAAAAGTATAAAGTTATCCTTTAAAACGTATTAAGGTATATTTATCCTTAAACTTAATTTTTTAGGAAAAAATGATTAAATTCAAACCTAATTATTTTACAAAACTATTTAATTATTATTTGATCTAATGTTAATGAGTATAAGCTTATAAATATTTATTTTTGAAATATTAGATTAAAAGAGTGTGCAATTGACACATTACAAAATATGAGTGTCTCAAATGAAAAATTAAAAAGTTATAGGATATATGTGAAACAGTTAAACCACTTCAACGACAAAATGAAAGTTAAGTAGCTAAACTAAGATCAAGGCAAGGACAGATTTTTTTAGCTCTGCCCAATGAACGTAGCAATTAATTGTGTCTCCCGTACTGTAAGTAGGACACGTGTAAAAGGAAAAGCGATAGAGTCATGTTTAAAGAAACCAACGACTTGGCGACAGCTCGTTAGAAGTCATCTTCGAATCTGAGGTTTTTTTTTTTATTTAATTTATGTTATTTTTTCAAACAACAACACGTGGGGTCAGCTCCTTTCTGTGGGGTGCTCTTCATGTCCGCCACGTGTCCATTTGCATGAGCGGCATTTTTTAGGGCATTCTTGTCATTTAATCCAATATTTTCTTTTCTTCTTTTTTTTTCTCTTCACTTGTTATTCTTTCAATTTCCTCCATTTTCCTTTGGATTTGTTCCTCTTTTTCTCTTTTTTAACCTGTTGGTCTTTTTAATGAAAAATGGGAACTTTGAGGTTTCTTTCGGGGTCTAGATTTTACATTTATAATTCCATGTGTTATAAAATTTAATTTCCTCACTTTTTTCTTCTTTTAATAATTTTGGTTTGTGTTTCAACGGCAAAAGCCGAGGAAATTGGAAGAAAAGAAACCTAACAAAACATTTCCATGCAAATGCTCAATCTTCCAAGGGATCTACTTCAAAGATTCATGTCATCAAGCGACCATTTTTCTCACAGAAATCATGAAGAGGAAGAAAATGATGAAGAAGAAGAGATTGAGTTAAGCTTAGGACTTTCATTGAATGGTCGTTTTGGGGTTGATCCCAGAGCCAAAAAACTCACTAGATCATCTTCAATACCAGATTTCATCAACAACTTAGCAAGAAAAGACACTAATGAATCTTTTTCTTCTTTGTTCCCCATGGCTTGTGGTTCTCTTGTGAGGACATGTTCTTTGCCTACAGAGACACAGACAGAGGAAGAGTGGAGGAAGAGGAAGGAGTTGCAAAGTTTAAGGAGAATGGAAGCTAAGAGAAAGAGATCAGAGAAACAGAAGAATTTAAAAGCTGAGAGGCATAGGAATGGAGGGGGTTTTGGTGAAGAGAATTGTGAAGAAGATAAGAGAGAAGAGGCTGGGAATGGAGCTAGTTGGGTTAATGGTGGTAGAGGACCTTGTGAAGGAGTAGCTGCTTCTCTGGGTTCAATTGGATCCCAAGGTAGTGGTTCCTTGGGGATATCAGAACTTGAGAGCCAACCAACTCAAGGTATCAAAAATTGTGCAGCCCCTTATTTTGTTCCTCATGAAAAACTTTTTCCTCATTTTTGTTAGTTTACTCATGCTTTATCCATCTTGATTGTTGTTATTTTTACTAGTATTAATGTCCTATTATTTGCTATTTGATCTTGAAACTAGTCAGGTAGTGTTTGTTTTGTCCTTTTTTTTCCCTTATAATTAATAGTAATATAAAAGTTAGGAAAACTGAGATTCTCTTGCCATAATCATGTTGATTTGTTCTCGAATTTCAGTATTTCACAACCTCTTTTGCGCTTTGATTAGGGTGACATATTTGAATTGTATTTAGATGCAAGTCATTGGGTTGACTGGTTGGTTCATGTGGTCTATGACTGATCACATAGATGGATTGCAGCCAAAACATGATGTTGCTAGTCCAGTAGTCCAGTGGAAATGCCACACTGATCTCTGAAAGGTTATCTTTTAGATGCTTGTCTTCCTTCAGTTGATAGATCATCTCGAATTGCTGTCATGTTATAGTTGTGCTTTAGTTGAACTAAGGATGTCCTAGTTTTTACCTAAGATCCAATGACAAAGAATGGAAAATGAGGATCAGACATTAGTTAAAATTGTACCACTTCTTGAGATACAGACTAAATCCAAGTGAAGAATAATGCACTAAATGGCAGTTATCTATTACTATCCTTTCCACTGATTCATAGTTTTAGCAAACATGGGTCAATAGCTTTTTGCTCTTTGAATTTTGTGAATATCTTGTGGACCTGCGGATATCGATTTGCCTGTTTCGATCCTTCTAGGTGAAAAATTGACTACACATTGAACAAAGAGGAAGTTGTCGTTTTTGATAGTGTTGGTATAGGTGATATAGGAAAATTTAGTGGCATAATTGCTCTGTTTTATTATTTTTGAACATCCATGTATGAAATCATGCCAAAGATATTCCGTGAAATGGAGGCATGATTTACAATTTTAGAAAAATTCTACTCAGTCTTTTCAGTATCAACCTCATGGCATAACTTCATAGCTCCTTTGAACTTTTTGATAGCTTAAAGTGGAAAATTTGACATGGAAGAGAGGAAAATTTGACATGGAAGAGTGGAAGAGTGAAAAAGAAGTTCTAGAGACTGATAACCGATTCTAATAACATTAACACTGCTATCATATCTCAATGCTAACTTCCTCTTCTAATGCCTTTTGATAGCGTCAACAAATTTTCGAGTTGACAGAATGAAATGTTATCATCTCATCAGAAAGTGGATTTTGGTATTTATTTATTTATTTTTAGCAATGGAGCCTATGAAAAGGAAAAGTATGCAGGGAGCAGGTTATTTATGCTATTAATCCTCCTCTAGTAAATTGCTGACGAGCTATGCTACATTTTTATAATTACTTGTTTCGATACCTTATGCTTACTGAGGATATGAACTTGAATAAGTACAGCATACACTTGGCAATTCATGTATTCATATATGTTTATTTTGTGTCTAACACGTATAAAACAAAAGAATTATTGTGTCATAATTCGTGTTAACACAAGAAACACAACACATTTTTTTGGTTTTTGCCAAACCAATATATGGCTTTTGTTAAAATTGTAAATAGTATCTCTTTCATGTCTTTTTTTTTGTATTATTTTCATATTATCAGGAACAGGAGTAGTAATACCCTACGATATTACAAAATGGTTTAGTTTGTTGTTTTTGTTGTTATCTTAAACTTGCATTTAGCTTGAGCTCATATATATATATATATATATATATATTGCATTAAACTAAAGGAACTTGTAAATGCCGTGAAGAAAGAAGCCCTACCAGTGTGCAATCTGCAGCAGAGACTGAGCAGAAACCAATCATCGTCCCTGCAACAATCTTGACTCGAAAATCAGAAAAGTTAGGTGGAGTTGCGACAGAGAATCAACCTATTGAACCAGCGGCAGCTGAAAAGAGGGTTAAGGAAGTGGTGAGGAACATATTTGATGATATGCCTTATGTATCAACAACAGGCGATGGCCCCAATGGGAAAAGAATAGAAGGCTTTCTTTACAGATATAGAAAGGGTGAGGAGGTGAGAATAGTTTGTGTTTGCCATGGCAGCTTCCTCTCCCCAGCTGAATTTGTCAAGCATGCTGGTGGCGGTGATGTAGCACACCCACTAAAGCATATTGTTGTTAGTTCTTCTTTCCTTTTCTAATGCAAATCCCACGGTTTGAAGGAATGCAGAGAAAAGGTTAATGAAGCTTAGCCTTCATTGATTTCAGAATCTCCTTTCTTTTATTCTGGACTCGGCTATTAACTTTTTAGTGAATCAAGCTTCAAGTTTGGAAAATTAAGAGGGGTGCATCATTTTCGTTTCAAAACATCGGATGTGAAATTCAGAGCTAAATTCGGAGCTTATCTTGATTGATTTATCGGATGTTGATTCTTCCAATCTTTCACCAATTCTATTTTCATTCAGAACCGTAAAATGCTTCCATTAGCATCACATGCTTAGTGAAAGGAATCCTTGGATTTCCTTCGCGGGACATCCGAAACAGCAAAATCATCAAAGGAAAAATTGAAGTGAAAGAGGATTGATTTGGTTACTCAAGAACTAAAGAAAAAAAAAAGAATTGAAGGTATCGGTATCCCTCAAGAAGGAACAATAATTTAGATAATGTTTGGTATGAAGTGATTATTCAAAAAATCATAATTTACATGTGATTAAATCATGTTTGGTAACCATTTAATAATTTTATGTGACGATGAATTTAGATAATTTAAAATGATTAGATTATTAACTTCAAGGGTGATTTAATTCTCATCCAAAGGTATGAAAAAATTTTACCATTGAGGTGAAATTATATGTAAAATTAACGAAAGTCAATATTATTCATTTAATATGTGAATTAAAAATTTATTTTTTTAAATTAATTATAATTATTTTATATTATAATTTTTATATTTTCAAACTAATAATTATTTTCACAAGTTTAAAAATATTTTGTGCATTTTTTTAATTTTTTAAATTTATATATAATATAATTTGTTGGTTTTAATATATTAATTTTATTTTCTAATTCAAATATTTTTTACATAATTTATACTATAAAAACTAGTTTATTATTTAACAAATATATTTTTAATTTAATAATTTAATTATATTATTATAAAGTAAATAAAATATTACTAATATTTTATATATAAATTATTATTTTTAAATAATATTAAAATTATTAACTTGTGTAGTTACAATAATATATATGATTATTTTGATGCTTTCAAATAAAATAATTTTTAATTTTTAATAAAAACCAAATACAATAATCTTTAATTACGAAAAATTAATGATTTTTAATCAAACAAAATAATTTGATATAACAAGTGATAAAATTACCTTAATAATAAAATTATTTTATTAATTAAATTATCATAATAATTTTAAAAATGATATCGAAACATTACCTTAAACATCGCCTATAACAGTACAATGGCAGAGTTATTACAAACCTAACTGAGAATGGCAGTGATTTTACGGGTGAGCTGCTCAGTTTGATTGCTCCATCTCATAACCCACAACCTCAGTCCTTTGTTAACTCCATATATAACCCAATATTCTTACAACATAATTATGATATAATATTTTCAACTCTTATTTTAAGTAAATAATATAATTTAAATATTTCAAATTGAATAAAATTAGAAAGTGATCATGCATTTGCATTTGACATTTATTGAAATTTAATTAGGATTATTGTCATGTTTGGCTTTTGGATTACATATTTTTTAATATGATACTTGTATTTTAAAGATATTCAATGTGGTATCTAAGATTAACATTGTTAATACAAAAAGGGTTAATGTTAAGAATAACAATTAAATTATAGTAAAAATTTTAATGTAATAAATAAATTTTAAAAATTTTTAGTATAATATTTAAATTATGAATATATTAATTAAGATAAAATTTAAAAAATTTATCCGTCATGCCTTATAATTTGAAATTAATCATATTATACATGAATATTATATTAATTAATAAATTTATAATTTAAGTATCACATATATTAAAAAAATTTTAAATTTAAATATTATATTAAATATTTCATTATAATCTAAAAATTATTCGTGTTATTAACCAAATAAAAAATGATGACATGACAACCAATCAATGGGATCATGCCATTTAACATATTCAAATTGAGGATTTCCCCATTTTCAAGCATTCTTATTTCTCATATGTAAGTACATATTTTTTTAATTTAAAAAAAAACCGAGTTAATGTCATAGATGTTCTTTAAACTATAATAAAATATTTAATATAATATTTAAATTTTAAAAATTTATAATTTAATATTAAATTATAAATTTATTAATTAATGTGATATTTACTTATAATATAGTTGATTTCAAATAATAATATATGAGGAATAAAAAATTTTAAAATACTATATTAATTAACAGATTTTAAGTTTCAATATTTTATTAAAAATTTTTAAAATTTTGATATCATATTAAATATTTTATTATAGTTTTGATATTAACTCAAAAAATATACAAATACATATTCTTGACAAAAAATAATATAAATACGTATACTTGTCTATTCTTTTAAAGACGAAGTCTATGTTAAAAACAATTTATAAACTATTATTAATTTTTATTTTTCTTTTCAAATGAGATCTTCAAAAGTATGTGATGCAATGAATTTGGGTAATTATATCATTGGATCTTAGTTTGTCAATGGAATTAAGATGCAATAATTCACAAAACATAGGAAAAGTTCCTTAGGACAATTTTTTTAATAAAATTATAAATACAAGAGAAGTTACAATTATAATAAAATATTATATTTATATATAAAATTATAAGTATAAAATAAATTATAATCATAATTAAATATTAAAATTTATGTATAAAAACTTATTAAATATCCAATCAACATATTAAAGCATAACTTAATAAATTCAAATAAAATTAAATCAAAACTCACGTAAACATAAAATTTCAAGATTTTAAGATTTCTTCCTTACTATTAAATCAAAGTCTGATTAGCTCATTCAAATAAGTTTTAATTATAAAATAGAAATACACGTGATTTTAGTTATAAAGTAAGAACCATAAAAACAAATAAAAAAAACAATTTTTTTAGAAATTGTTCTTGGGTTTGTCTTTCAATTTAAATTAAAATGTAAAAAAAAAATTAAACAGGTATTAATATAGAATAATATAGTTATCATATACTAATCTAAACAACACATAATTATTTATTATTATTATTTTTTAACAAATGGAGGTCGAAGGTTGAATTATATATATAAAGAAAGATAACTCCTTTCCTTATTAACATCCTGCAAAAGTTTGAATTTACAGTTCATGGAATGCGTTTGCAACAGCAAAGTTAGCAATTTCAAGAGGAAATCTTGCAAGTATTTATTTCTTAATCTTGGGTCAAAAAATGATATCAGAAGTTTGCATATATCAAAGGAAATGCTGCAGATCATTCCAATGTCATACTCTTAAACTAGATGCACTATCCTTTAGATTTTGAAGATTATCTGATACACAGAGGGAATATGTTCATTTTGAAGTGCTGACACAACTTTATTTGCATTTGCAATCCTCTTAACAATGGAACAATCATTGTACCTGATAATGGATGTAGTGTTCGGTGTAAATTCAGATATTAAATGATTTAATTTGATTCAAATTTGAATTAATTTTGAAACTGAACCTTACCCCACCCCGTAGCTTCAACTGTTCAACATCACTTGCCTTCTAGAGTTCCAGAAGTATCTTTCATATAGATTAAACTAAAATAGACATGACACTGAACTGTAAAGTGGAAAACTATTCTATTGTTTTATTAGGACATCAAATGAAGCTCAGATGCACGTACAACTTGAATTTAAAAAAACAAAAAAAATCTGCATTCTTCTGCAGAGTCATCCGAGAAATAGCATCAGAAAAATGGGGGAAAAACTCTGTTACAATTTACAAAGTGGCAATAACTACAGCTTTAGAACTCTACCTAAAAGGCCAGCCGGCGACAATGACCTACAAACACTGTTAGTCAATAGAAGCTTTGTCAGGTAAACTAGCAAGATGGTGGCTGAAGTTGCTTCAGCCGCCGTACTACTTGCTTCATAGTAGGTCTGGTAGAGAGAGAATCAACGGTACACACAACTGCCAAGTGTAGAACTTCGACCAAGTCATTTTGGGGACCTGCATCCCATAGCCCTGCAGTGAAGAATTCCTTTGCCTGGCCTTGTCGCAAGAGCAAACAGGACCATTGAACAATGTTGAAACCATTTCCATAGCGAGAAAACGAGGGATCCAAGGCTTTCTTATCTGAGAGCAACTCAAGAAGCACCACCCCATAACTGTAAACATCAGCTTTATCAGAAACACGGCAAGTCATTGCATATTCCGGAGCAACATACCCAAAAGTTCCAGCAACACCCGTGGTAGCATGGGTTTCTGAAGTTCCCAAAAGTCTGGCCAAACCAAAGTCTGATAAATAAGCATTGTAATCATCATCCAACAGGATATTGCTGGGCTTGACATCGCGGTGGAGAATACGTGGGACACATTGATCATGTAGGTAAGCAAGAGCACGGGCTATGTCCAAAGCAATCTTGTAAAGTATCCTCCAATCCACAGCTCTTGTGGACCTCTCCTGAATAAAATTCTCCAAGTTACCACCTGACAAATAATTGTATACAAGGAATGTCTCCGTTTCACTGGCATGATAACCAATTAAAGTGACAAGATTTGGGTGGCGCAACCTCCCAAGGATTTTAATTTCTGCATCAAACTGTTGAAAGCCTTGCAACCGTCCAATTGCAAGCCGCTTTATTGCCACCAAAACTCCAGGAGAGATCTCAGCTTTATAAGTGGACCCAAAACCTCCATTCCCAATACAGTTGCTGGCATTGAAATTCCCTGTGGCCTGCACAACGCTGTCAAATGTCAAAGGGACCCCAATGTCGTTGAAAATTGTCACTTCTTTTTTGGTGGTGCTGACAATTTTGGATTTTGAATTCCACTTCCTGGTATAGAGGAATAAAATAACAAGAGCCAGAAGAACTGATACAATGGCTGAAGCAGAAGTTATTGATGCTATCTCGATTGCATTGAAACCATTATTTCTATTCATTTGAGTTGTGGATCCCGTTGGTGATGCAGCATAATTTTGTGAATCACCTGCTCTTGCTTCATCTGAAGATGGCATTAATGAGTACGCATGGCAAGGCTGTAGAAGAGGGTTTCCAAGAAGACTGCTGCATTTCATCAAATTATTACTTGATGGCAGTGGCCCAGACAAGTTATTGAAGGATACATTGAATACAGAGAGCATGGTCAAATTTGCCAAACCAGAGGGAATTTGCCCAGACAGTTTGTTGTTATTGAGCAGAAGAACAGTCAGGTTTCTCAAGTTAACCAGATTTTCAGGAATTTCACCAGAAAGAGAATTTGATGACAGCTCCAGCATTTCTAAAGATTCCAACAGCCCAAAGGTGAAAGGAATAGATCCGATCAGATTGTTACCAGCCAAAGAAAGATACCTGAGATCCTTCATCTGCCCAAAACTGTTTGGAATCTGGCCTTTTAACAGGTTCCAGCTCAAATTAAGAGAAACAAGGGAAACCAAGTCTCCAATGTTAGGGGGAATGGGCCCAGTTATTTGATTCACAGACACATCCAGAAATTTGAGCGATTTGCAAATTTTACTGATTTCAGCAGGAATCTGACCAGACATTCTGTTGTAGCTAACATTAACAAACAGTGCATTCAATCCTTTGCAGTTCTCAAACAAATTCCCTGGGAATGGTCCACTGAGCAAGTTTTCTCCGGCATAAAATGCATAAGAAATCTGTTTCCCTAATCTTTGTGGTGCAATTGGCATTGACAAGACACTGCCAGTAAAGTTGTTACCTCCAAAGTTGTGAAACACAGCAGGACCACCATCTCCTCCAAAAAACTCAAAAGATGTTCCAACCTGAGCTTTACTTGCAAAGAAAGATAAATATGCAGAAGTTGGGTTGAAGGGTTCAGAGGAATACGAATCTGAGGTAAGAACATCAGGGCATCCATGGTTATAGAATCTAGGGATAGAACTTGACAAGGAATTTTCACTGACATCAAACACACTCATACAAGGAACTGCAAGTTCCTCAATAAGCGCTCCGGTAAGGCGCTTATTTGAGCTTAGGTCAAGGTACCGGAGCTTCTTGCAGAGACTAAGACCAAAAGGAATTTCCCCAGAAAAAAAATTCTGAGCCAAATTTACCATCTCCAAGTTATCACAAGCACCCCAATCACTTGGCAAGTTGCCCTCAAGCGTTGCCCTTGGAGCCCATAATACCCTCAGCTTTGAAAGCTTTGTAATTTCATCAGGAATCCCACCTTGGTAAAAATTAAAATCATCATTTACAGAACTTGGATCTCCTTTAGCCATAGCAAGGTCATCATATGGATTAAACATAGTTGAGAGAACAAGCACAGTCAATCCAGAACAATTCCCAAGCTCAACAGGTATCTGACCACTCAAACTATTCCTCGAAACATCCAACACTTCAAGATTCTGAAGCTGACCAATTTCACGCGGTATCCCTTCCTCCAACAAATTTGTATACAACAACAATGACCTCAACTGACTACACTTCCCCAAACTAGCAGGAATCTGCCCATGGAAGTAATTCCCTGACAAATCCAAATGCTCAAGTTTACAACCTTCACCGATATCAGCTGGCAACAACCCACTGAGCAATGTAAAGGACAAGTAAACACCTCTAAACCTTCCAACAAATCCGGGAATGGTTCCATTCACAAGATTACCAGCCAAATTCAATATGTCCATTTGTTCCAAACTCGAAAGCCACCTCGGTATCCCTCCACTAATGTTATTAAACCCCAAATTAAGAACTCTCAAATTCTTTAACCCAGTAACGCTAACAGGCAATGGCCCAGATAACAAATTGTTCTCTAAATCAAGTACTTCCAATTTTTCCAACTCCCAAATTTCAGCAGGAATTTCACCACTAAATCTATGAAAAGGAAGTGATAAAATTCTAAGTTCACTCAATTTTCCAATAGAAGGTAACAACTTTCCAGACAAACTCCCATTACTTTCCCCACAATTCCTTCTAATACCAAATCCATAAAATGGAAATAAACTGTAATCAGAACAAGAAAACGAGACAGAAGCAACGGTATTTTTGGAATTACCTTTTTGCCTTTTTCCAAAACCGGTTATGTTAAGAGACAAAACCTTGGAGCTTTTGTCACATGTAACACCCGACCATGAACAGTGATGGGAAGTTTCGGTCCAAGTGGACAAAAGCCCTGAAGGATCTGAGACAGACTTCTTAAACTGAAGAAGAACAGCTTTGTCAGAAGAATCATCACTCAAAACGACACTGCTCAATACACAGAAGAAGAGTAAGAAAAATGGCTGCCACTTGATAACTGAAGCTGAAAAAGAACCCATTTCCTTAGATGCCCTTTTCAAAGGGTACTATAGAAACACTTAAAAAAGCTTCCTTTTAGCTTTTTATATAAGAATTTGAAGTTGGAAATCTGGGTTTCTCTTCTGGTTTGAGTTTTTTTGAAAACCCTAACCCTAATTTTTTGGGCTGTTTGGGTAGAGAGAAAAAATAAAATGAAGGAAAACCGAGAAAGAGTAAAAATACAACAACGAAAGACGCGTTTTACTTTCCTTTTTGGTTCTTCTCTCGTCTTTCTCTGTTCTTTCTGCTTGGAACTTTCCATTTTTTAATTTAGGAGAAAATTATGAACAGGTATAGAAAGTTTGCCCTATTTATGAAAAGCTCCGAAATGTTTTGCTTAATTTTTAATTGAGTCCTTATTGATTAGATTTTAATTTTATGTAGGTTTCCAAATATAATAGACATATTTAAGGGCTGATTTTAATGATTTTGATTTTAAATTGATTTAGTTTGCATTTTGAAGTAAAAAAAATTTTATTTTACATTTTTAATGGTAGCAGACAAATAAAAATAATTTTAAAACTTTTTTTATTTATTTTTATCTTTTCATACATAATGTGCTTGATGGTACAACATAAGTAAGGTAACCTTTTAATTTTATTATTCATAATAAAAATTTTCAATTTTATATTCCATCATAATTTTGAAACTCTTTTGTGCACACAAGAAAACACAAATGGCAAATGAGGTTTGTTGGGTTTTATACTTTTTTTTTTCAATTTTTTTGTTTATAATGATTTATTTTCTTTAGCCCTTGATAATATTCAATAAACAAATGTTACAAAATATAAGAAAATTATATAACAAAAACATGAAGCATAACAGAAGTTATAAATATATTAGACAATGAATGAATTCAAACTTTTTTCTTTTGTACATGCAAAGGCTCATATTGCATCATGTGTTATCACAATAAAATATAAATTTTATTTTATAAATTTATTATTTTTTTGAGAATGGAAAATTATCAATTATTAAATTTTAAACTTAATTCAATTGATTAATATAATAATACTTAAAATATAACATCCAATAAATTTAAATTTTAAATTTTAATATCTGCAACTTATTTTATCCTTAAATTAGTTTTTTTGTACAAAAAAAATTTAGCCAATATTTTAACGGGCCTTTTCGAAAGTGAACAAAATTTCCTGGTTCTATTACAAATATTTGGAACTTGTTTTCATTTTGGAATTTCAACTTTATATTTTATATTGGTTTTCATTTTAAATACTTTAAGCCAGTTAGAAAAAATCAAGCAAGGTGGTGTTGGGTCCCACAAACCGTTCATTACACGCATCACGACCGTCAATTTAAGGGCTTAAGGTTGATTTAGACTTTAGCCTCTATTTTTTTTTTAATTTTTTTCGTTTGATTTGATAGGGTAAAAAGCATACTTTAAACTTTATATTTCACACGTGGCATTGGATTAAAAAATCCACGTGAGGCACCATTCCAGAAGGTAAAGTGAGGGCCATCCCTCCTTTTTTTTTTTTTGGGATTATCTTATTTTTAAGGTTTACGAGGTCCAGAAAAACTAGGGTCCCCACCAGAAAAACCTATGGAATATTCTTGGTTATAAAATATCAACCACTCAAATTAGTAAACGTAAGAAAAATAAATATTAATTTAATATTTTTTTGAAATTATTAATTAAGTAATATTTAATTAAAAAACTTAGTGATATTTGATTGGTTGAATCAATTTGATTAAAAATTTTAAATTCAAATCTCAATCAGACAAAAGATAAATGAAATGAGTTTTTTTTTTTTGTTTTGCAACTAATCACAATAATTATTTGTAACATAAAAAAATTTATTGTTTTATTTTACATTTCTTGTAGTGATCACGTTCTCATCCTATGCATAATTGGCCAACTAATAAACCTATAATGGGGGCATTTGATTACAGAAATTTTGATTTTGTTTTCAAAATTTTACTTATAGGAATATAAATTTTACGTTTGATTTATAGATATTTGATTTTTGAAATATTTTTAGATTCTTAGTAATATTAAAATGTCTTTGTCTTTTTTTAATTTTTAAGATATTGAAAGAAAAGTTATTATTGTTTCACATTTGATTTTAATAATAAATTTTTTTGATTTATTTTACTATTAAAAATTAACGTATTTTAAAAACTTTTAATTACAGTTTTTATTTAGAAATGTAGTCTTTAAAAGAAAGATCATGTTTTTTTATGTCAAAAATGTAATTTAAAAAAAATAAAGATCACATTTTAAAATAAAAAACGTAGTTTTTGTTAAATAATAAAACACTTTTTTAAATAATAAAGATCATATTTTTTATGTCAAAAAATGTAATCTTTAAAGATATAATGATCACGTTTCTAACATAAGAAACGTAATCTTTGATAAATAACATAAAACACTTTTTTTAAATAATAAAAACTATGTTTTTTATGTTAAAAATTTAGTCTTTGTGATTTTTTTTTTAATTTCAAAGACGTCATTTTTCATGAAGAAAATGTCGTTTTTATATTAAAAACTACATTTGCAAATTTATTAACATAATTTTAATTAAACATTGTATTTGTATATTTTCAAGTTAAATATTGCGTTTCTAACATAAAAAATGTCATCTTTAATTAAATAACATCATTTAGTTAAATAAAACTACTTTATCTACTGTATTAAACATTACGTTTAGGGTCATATTAACGTAGTATTTGATATAAATACAATATTTTATATAAGAGTAACATAGTCTTTAATATATTTTATTTTTTATTTTTTAATAACAAAAACATAATCTTTAACTATATAGAACTTCATATTATTTTAATAAAAAACTGTGTTTATATTTAATAAAATCATTGTCTTTGTTATATAATGAAGAATATTATAGTAAAAATATTTTATTAAGTAATCTAAGTTTTCTCCAACAAACACAAGAAATTAATATTTTCATATTAGGAAGAATCACCTCTAGCTAAAAATTCACACTTTCTTAAGAATTATTTTTCTTCTTAGAATCTAAAATTTTGCTACTTAAATGTCCCTTAACACAATTATAAGAAAAAAAATATCAGGGAGTTTTTTTACTAGTAAATCTTAAAACCTTACTTTCAATGATTTAAAATCTTTAAAAAAAAATCATGAAAACATGATAGTTTGTGTAAATAATAAATTTTTTAGAAACAACAATTTATATATTTTTTGATTAATCATTTATCATATTTTTAAAATTTTTTAATCATTTTTGAACTGTAAATTAAATGCAAATTTAACTCTCCATTTAGTGAAAATGATTTTTTTTTGTTACATCAGGACGGCAAAGCTCTAATATAAGTAATAAAGAGGAGGGAGGCTTAACTCGAAATCAAATCCTTAATATTCCCTCAAACGCTTTTAGCCATTAGGTCAAAGGCTTAGGGACCAATGATTTTTTTTCCCCATTGAAAATGAGAACCTAACAGCTTTCTTCTTAAACACTCACAGAGGCATGCAAATTTGGGTTAACATAAAAAAAAAAAATTTTTTTTACAATAAAGTAAGCATTATTTATTAATAAATTTAGAGTTTAATTTAGTTAATTCGTATAATTATTTTTAAAAGATTATATTTAGTATATTTGAATTCAAATCTCAACACTTATAATTTTTTTAACTTACAAATTATGCTTTTTTTTTCTAAAAAATGTTATTTATTAACAAAAAGAAAATTGACATTTAGTGCTTAACTTTATTTTATTATATGTTCAACAAGAAGTCCACACTCATAAAAACAAACAAACTACTTATCTCCTCCATATTTACATATTCTAGTATTAGCATATGATTAATATATGGTTAATTAATTTTTACATTAAGGTGATGAAAGAGTGATGAAACCAAGCTTATTAATTATACCTAGCTAATAGGTGCTATTAGTCTTGATTTCTTTTATTAAATGATAAGATGAAGATGGAGTAGCATTATACTAATAATATTAGTCAGATTTCTTATACTATATTCTTATATTCTATTAGTTTATTGAAATCTTGGACAGTAGCCTGCTCAATCATTTAAGAGTGAGAGAATGGAGTTCATTTTTTTTTTTTTTTTTAATTTGTGCCATGCTACTTGCGACTAAGGAAGGGTTATTTCGATTGATAAGAAGAGGGTTTTCAATTTTTTTTATTAATCGAGGTTCAATTTTTGGAAGATTAATTTTGAATGCCCTATATCAATACATGAAGGTATATGTTCTTAAAATTATTTGAAAATAGAATTAAGTAGAAATAAAATTTACGAATATATCTAACCGTATTAAAAAAATTAAAGTTCTAAAATTATTGTATAAAGAAATCAATATAATTAGAGTTTTCAAGCTATATTTAAGGCTCATATATCCATTAATTTTTTATTATATTTTTCATGATGCCTCCTTGTTTTAAATGAGCTTCTATGAATTGTTTGGGTTTTACAATTAAAGGGGTAAATTGCAAAATTTTAAGCCCAATAACTTTGTTTTGCCTTTGTAGAAAGAAAGTTGGATTGTTATAGGTGAAGGTTATGCTGCAAAAGTTATGAGTGGCAACGTTTTATCTGAAGTTATTTGTTTGTTTGTTTTTATTGAAAGTAGTCTTCAACTGGCATATGGTAAAAGCCAATTACAAAACCATATTAAATATTAAAAAAATAATCCTATACATCAAAACAGTATTATTATATCTTATTTGAACGGTTAATATTATGATTGATTTTTATAATATAATAAAATATTTAATATGATACTTGAATTTTTAAAATTTTTAATATAATATTTAAATTATAAAATTATTAATTTATTAATTAATGAATTTGTTAAATAATAAATGTGATGGATAAATAATTATTAAATATTATATTAATTAATAAATTTATAATTTAAATATTACATTAAATTTTTTTTAAAATTTTAATATTATTTAAATATTTTATTATAATTTAAAAATTATTTATACCATTAAATTCAAAATTGTTACGTAAGGCCTCAAAAATGAAGTCAACGATTCCTTTTCATAACAGCCACAGGGCAAATTGATGCTATTTCCTGGCTGAGTTGACCAATCTTATTCCCCACTGATGTAAATGATGGGAAACATGTGATTTTAATTCGGATGGAAAATCAGCAACACTGTGTTTCCCGTGAAGTACTTGTGGATGTCCAAAGTATTGAACTCAATTTGCCAACTCTTTAGTGGTTGAAATTATTTTTTCCTTTTAT